GCAGCAGCGGGGGGGGGGGGGGGGGGCAGCCGAACCATTTTGGCGTGCCTCGAAGTTGTGAGGCACGTCCCGAGGTTGCGTTGGTGCGTTATTTGCTATTTTACGGTTCCACCACGCTCGCACCACAAGCAGCCGCAGCAGCGGAGGAGCAACCGTGTGCGTCTTGTGTGCTGGTGATATACGAGGAAGATTGCTTTTGAAAAGAGAACCGTCTGGGTACCGAGAGAGGGCACAGAGCCAGCCGCGGTAGCCTCATAAGGGGGGGGCGCGGATCAGAATGCCGGGAGGGACGGGGTTAGACGTGACCTCTTTCCTTGTGTAAAGCAGGAGGGAAACCGGGTGTTAGTTGGCAAGGAAAAAAAAAATGGGAGTTTTTTTTTTTTCGCTTTGTCCATTCTCTCTTCTCTTTCTCTTTTTATTTTTTCACTCGCGAAACGTTCGTCTCGGAAATTCAATACAGCGTGCGGCAGCGTCAGACTAGCTGTCTTGCCGTATAGAATGCTGCGGTTACGGCGGCGACTTGATGATGAGACGGGCATGTTTCGTGTGTCGTTGTCGAACCTTTGACTACTGACTTGACAAAAACTGCATATGTTTAGTTCTCCCTTGGAGAAAGGCGGAATGACAATAAAATGAGGGACGTACAAAACGGTTTGTCTTTTAAAGAAAAAAAAAAATGATACCACGATCCTATGTGTAAATCGAAGCGATACCATGGTCGGAACTCTCACGTAGAGGCGCGAGAGGGGGGGGGGGATGGATTTTCGTTGCACGGCGAGGGCGAAAGCCTCCTGTAGGCTAGGGGGGGTTTATATGGACTGTCTGGGTGTGTGGGGTTTTGCTCTTTACGGTGGAGGCGTGCTGTTTTCTTCGTTCGCCTGGTCGGGTCATTTCTTTTCGTGCGGTATGCTACGAGGGGCTTTATATTTTTATGTCCACAGCAGTAAATAGTAAATCTTACCCTACGCCAGCATGAACAAGACTATTTATAGCTGCCGTTTGCAACGGTACTTCGTCTGGCGCTCCCTTTTTTGTCCCGCTAGGCGTGCATGTTCATCCTAGCCTTCCAAGAGCCAAGGGTTTCTGTTTTATATGCATGTGCGCTGGGGGGGATGGGGTTGATTGCTACTTGCTTGTGTTCTAGGCTCGGTGGGGTATTTTAAGGTCTCACCCCGGGCAACTTACGTACGTCTAGACGAGCGTCGTCCACAGACCTACCGACCTCCCGTCAATGTTTGTCTTTTTTTCTCGCTTACCTGTTACTGTTGTGGTTTTCAGCGCTTATATTTGCGCGCGGGTAGCTATACTGCTAGGTCACTGGTTGTTCGCGAGTACATAACGCCACGCCGTGTAGTGCAACGGGAGCATGAAAGGAAGGAAGTGTTCATGTCTATTTTTCGGTATGAGTCAGCGAAGGGAGAACGAAGGAAAAGTTTTGAGCAAACGGAAATTTTGACGGGCGGAGAGAGCGAAAATGGGCGAGCTCGCCGAAAATGAAGAAAATTTTAGCGTGGTTGTGGTGATGGTCGTGGTCGTTTTGTGTAAATTGTGTAGTGCCGTCCCAATTCTGATCTCGAACGGCGGGTTTGTTGTCTGTGTTTTCGCTGTGCCCCATGCTTGTGTTCTTGGGAAGTTTTTCGCGTGAAAAGGAAGGCACGCTTTGTGGTTCGGGGGGGCAGAGAGGGAGCCAGGAGAGGAATGACAGGGGGGGGGGGGGGGGGGCCCTTTTCTTTGGGGGGGCCTCTGGTGTGTTTCTTTTTTTTTGTTGTGG